TACACACCCCTTACACACCCCTTACACAGCCGATACACAGCCGATACACACCCGTTACACACCCCTTACACACCCAATACACACCCCTTACACACCCCTTACACACCCGATACACACCCGATACACACCCGATACACACCCGATACACACCCGATACACACCCGATACACACCCGATACACACCCGATACACACCCGATACACACCCGATACACACCCGATACACACCCGATACACACCCGATACACACCCGATACACACCCCTTACACACCCCTTGCACACCCATTACACACCCCTTGCACACCCGTTACACACCGGGAGGTGACACCGGGGACACGGCCTGGGCTGGTGCTTTTGGGGTCAATCCAAGGATTTTGGGGTCGATCCGAGGCTTTTTGGGATCCTGTATTTCTGTACAGCGGGGAGGGGGTGTCCCCACAATTGTCCCGGATCTGTCTGGGGGATCCGCTTGGGATCTGGGATCCATCCGGGGGGCCCAGAGGGGTTTGGGATCCGTTTGGGATCCGGGATCCATCCGGGGGGCCCAGAGGGGTTTGGGATCCGTTTGGGATCCGCTTGGGATCCGCTTGGGATCCGGGATCCATCCGGGGGGCCCAGAGGGGTTTGGGATCCGTTTGGGATCTGGGATCCATCCGGGGGGCCCAGAGGGGTTTGGGATCCACTCGGGGGGCCCAGGAGGGGTTCAGAGTCCGGGATCTGTCCAGGAGATCAGTCCAGAGGGGCCTGGGATCCATTTGGGATCCGGGATCCATTCAGGAGGGGGTTCCAAGCCCGGGATCCGTTTGGGATCTGGGATCCATCCAAGCAGTCCAGAGGGGTTCGGGATCCGTTTGGGATCTGGGATCCAGCCAGGGGGTCCAGGGCAAACCGGTCCCGTCCTTGGGGGTCCCACAGCAGCCAGGAGGGCGCCAGCTCTGGGATCCACATCCCGGGATCTCGCTGTCCCTCAGTGTCCCCTCAGAGCCCCTCGATGTCCCCTGCTTGTCACAGGTGTCCCTAAAGTGCCACAGGGACCTGGGATGTGCCACAGGTGTGCCATTGTCCCCCGGTGTCCCTGGGCTGGGCCTGGCAGCTCCCCACGATGTCCCTGAGGGTCCCTGGGGTGGCCCCAGCCTGTCCCCGATGTCCCCAAATGTCCTCACGGGTCACGGTGCTGTTGGTGCCACCTCAGGCAGTCCCCAATGTCCCCACAGGTCACTGTGCTGGGGGTGACCCCTCCGGCCGTCCCCGATGTCCCCGGTGTCCCTTGTGGGTCACGGCGCCGTTGGTGCCACCTCGGGCAGGCCCCAGTGTCCCCGGTGTCCCCTTGGGTCACTGTGCTGGGGGTGTCACCTCAGGCTCGCTGTCACTGCTGTCCCCGATGTCCCCGATGTCCCCCGGGGTCAGGGCGAAGGGCGGTGGCAGCTCCTCATCCGACGAGCCCAGCGAGTCCTCGTCCCCCAGGCGTGTCCCCAAGGCCACCGCGCCAAAGGACAGCGGCCCCCGCAGCAGCCGGATCTGGGCAGAGGGGACAGCGGGGACAGGGGCAACACGTGGTCACCAGCTGTCCCCAGACCACGTGGCACTGAGGGGACATCGCCGGTGGCACCCAGGGATGTCACCAGTGGCACCGGGGCCAGACTGGGGGTCCCCAGCACCTGTGGGTGCCACCCGGGTGTCCCCAACCCCTGTCACCTCCCCCCGGCCCCCTGGATGCCACCCGGTTGTTTCCCCATGTCCCCATTCTCCTCCCAGTGTCCCCAACCCCCCGGTGTTCCCAATGTCCTCAACCCCTCCAGTGTCCCCAACCCCTCCAGTGTCCCCCCAATGTCCCCGGTGTCCCCCCAGTGTCCCCACCTCGGCCTTCAGCTCGCTGATGTGGCCCCGCAGGTGCCGGATGTACTGCGCGGCGTCCGAGTGCTCCAGCTGGCCCTGCAGCCGTCCCTCCTCCCGCTGGGGGACACCGAGGGGACACCGAGGGGACACTGTGGCCACCTGTCCCCTCCTGTGCCCCACGTGTTCCATGTCCCCTGCATGTCCCACCTGTCCCACAGCCCCTCCGTGTCCCCACAACCCCCCGTGTCCCCTCCATGTCCCCATCTCCCCCGTGTCCCCTCCACATCCCCACGTCCCCCCGTGTCCCCTCCCTGTCCCCTGCTGTCCCCCGCTGTCCCCGTACCTGGATCTCCAGCTCGGCCACGCGCTGGCGCATCTCGGCCAGGGCGGCCATGCTGTCGGCCTCGCGCAGCCGCACGGCCATCACCTCCTCCTTGCTCTGGGGACAGTGCTGTCACCGCAGGGACACCGGGGGACACCCGGGGCCACCATGGGGACACCCTGGGACACCCTGGGCCACCATGGGGACACCCTGGGACACCCTGGGACACTCGGGGACACCCTGGGACACCCCGGGTCTCTGTCCCACCTTGCACTGTGCCTCGGCGTGTTTGCGGTGGCTCTCGCTCAGCTGGGCCTGCAGCCCCTGGCTCTGGGCGGCCGCGGCGCGGAGCTGCTCCCTCAGCCCGGCACAGGCCTGCTCGGCCCGGCCCAGCACCGAGCGCTGGATCCGGCCCTGGAGCGGGAGAGAGCGGGAAACACCCGGGGGAGAGCGGGAAACACCCGGGGGAGAGCGGGAAACACCCGGGGGAGAGCGGGAAACACCCGGGGGAGAGCGGGAAACACCCGGGGGAGAGCGGGAAACACCCGGGGGAGAGCGGGAAACACCCGGGACAGAGCGGGAAACACCCGGGACAGAGCGGGAAACACCCGGGGGAGAGCGGGAAACACCCGGGAGTGACCGGGATAAACCCGGGAGAGAGCAGGATAAACCCTGGCCCTTGCTCTCCCAGTCCATCCCAGCCCCATCCCAGTCCATCCCAGTTGCTCACCTGTGTCTCCAGGTGCAGCACGCGCTGTCTCAGCGCCCTCAGTTCCGCCTGGGCCTGGCTCTCGCGCAGCTGCACCCCCAGCACGGCCTCGTGCAGCGCCCGCGGCTCCTTCCAGCGGCCCCCACACACCTGGGGACACACCTGCTCAGGTAGGGACACACCTGGGGACAGCTGGGGACACACCTGCTCAGGTAGGGACACACCTGGGGACACACCTGCTCAGGTAGGGACACACCTGGGGACAGCTGGGGACACACCTGCTCAGGTAGGGACACACCTGGGACACCCAGGGGCAGCTGGAACACCCTGCCAGGTGTCCCCAATGTCCCCGTGTCTCACCTGCCAGGTGTCCCCAATGTCCCCGTGTCTCACCTGCCAGGTGTCCCCCAGGTCACTCAGGGCCAGCTCCTGCAGCTCCTCCTGCAGCCGAACCACGCTGGACTCGTCCGGCAGCAGCGGCTGGCGCTGGGGACAGGGACACGGGGACATCAGTGGGGACACGGGGACATCAGTGGGGACACGGGGACAGCAGTGGGGACAGATGGGGGCACCTTCAGAGAGCCACCCAGGACAGTTCCTGTCCCCAGTGCCACCCGTAGGACCTCCCTGTCCCCAGTGCCACCACTCCCGGTCCCCATGGAACCCTGCCACCCCTGGTGTCCCCACGGTGTCCCCACAGCGTCACCTTCTCCATGTCCAGGACCTTGTCCTGCATCTCCTTGAGGGCGCCCAGGGTTTCGCTCTCACGCAGCCGCGACCGCTCCAGCTCCGTCTCCAGGTGTGCCACAAACTCCTCGGTCAGGCGGGGGTTACCCTGTCCCCAAACGTCCCCAGGTGTCACCAAACATCACCTCCCACCCGCCACCAAATCCTCAGTCAGGCAGGTGTCACCAAATGTCACCAACGTGTCCCCAGCGCTGTCACCTGCCTTGTCACCTCCCCGCCGCGCTCACCTGGGGGCTCCCTTGTGTGACACTCAGGTAACAGGTGACAAAGGAGGTGACAAACTGGCAGCATGCAGGTGACACAATGACACAGGTGACACACAGGTGACACACAGGTGACACACAGGTGACAATGACACACCTGCAGCTCTCTGATGGTGCTCTGTGCCCGTCTCAGGCTCTCGGTGGCCGAGCTGCAGCGTTGCCGCACCAGTGCCAGCTCCCGCCGGATGACGTCGTTCTCCTCAGCCTCCTGTGCTCGTGTCACCTGGCCCTGGGGACATCGGGGACATCGGGGACGCTGTCACCTCCTGCCACCAGGGCAGAGCCAGCGCGGCTGTGGTGGCGCTGGGGGGGACAGTGAGCGACACTGGTACTGCAGAATGGGCTCGGGGACAAGGGAGTGACACCAGGGACAGGGAGGTGCCACCAGCCCCGTGGGGACCTCCAGGGCCATTTGTCCCCTCCCTTCCCTCCCCCACCCCAAACTCCATCCAAACTCCTGCAATCGCCGCTTTTCACCCCAAACCATCCCTCCCTCCCGGGCTGCGCGGGAGCCTCCGGAAAAGCAGGAAAAAAGGCGGAAAAAGCGAAAATCCGCCCCAAAACGAGGCTGGGGGAAGGGAGGGGAGGAGGAGGAGGAGGAAATGGGTGGAAAAAGGGGAAAATTGGGAAGGAGGCAGTACCTGGATGAGGCGATCGGCCAGGGCCGCGCTCTCCTGGGAGGGGAGGGGACAGCGACAGAGCCAGGTCAGGGACAGCGACAGCGGCGACAGCGACAGAGGCACCCGCGCCCTGCCCCCTTCCCGCGGAATTCCCACAGAATTCCCACAGAATTCCCGCAGAATTCCCCAGGATTTGGGGTTTTGTGCCCCGAGCGCGGAGGTTTAAAGCAAAAAGGGGATTTTGGCCCTAAACGGGGGATTTTGTCCAAAAAAAGGGGAGAGTTTGTGGCTAAATGGAGCAATTTTACCTCAAAATGAGAGATTTTATCCCAAAATGTGAGGAGATTTTGTTCAAAATAGGAGGGATTTTACCCCAAAATTGGGTTTTTGTCCCAAAACGGGGGGATTTTACCCCAAAACTGGAGTGCCCTAGGAGGTTTGGGTTCCTCAGAAGGGGTTTCAGGGTTTCTTGGGGGATTCGGGGTTTTTTTGGGGTCTCCCCTGGTGCTTCTGGGGTTCCATGTGTTTTTTTTGGGATTCCCTGGGATGGGTTTGGCTTTTTTGGGGTCCCCATGGGTGTTTTTGGCTTTTTTGGGGCTCTCTGGGATCTTTCTGAGTCTCCCCAGCTGCTTTCGTTTGTTTTGGGGTTCCATGCGGTGTTTTAAGGGTTTTCTTTTTTGTTTTTTGGGGTTCCAGGCCGTGTTTTGGGGTGTTTTTGGGCTCCCCCTGGGTGTTTTGGGGGTCCTCACCTTCTCCAGGGTCTCGATGCGCTGCTTCAGCAGCCGGTTCTCCGAGCGGAGCCGCTGTGGGGACAGGGAGGGGACAGGGAGGGGACAGGGAGGGGACAGAAGAGAGATTAGCCCAGGAAAGGGGGAGGGGATGTCCCCAACTGCCACTGACCCCAGGGACAGCCTGGGGACAGCCAGGGTGCGTTTGGTGACCCTGGGAAGACCCCAAGTGGCTTCAGGGTGGGTTTGGTGGCCCCAAGGTTGGGCCAGGTGACCCTGGGGTGGCTCCAATGGCTGTGGGATGGCTCAGTGTGACCCTGTAATGACCCCACGTGTCCCCAGGTGTCCCCAGGTGTCCCCGGCCGTGTCTCACCTTGATCTCGATCTGCTCCTCCATCTCCTTGCTCTTGAGGGCAGCGTATTCCTTCTCCAGCCTGCAGGGACGGGACAGGGCTGGGGACAGGGGACGGGGACAGGGGACGGGGACAGGGACATGGGATGGGGACAGGGGACGGGGACAGGGACGTGTCCCCCTGACCTCTTCATCTTCCTGGGGTTGTACTTGACCTGGCAGGCGCGCAGGATGAGCTTGTCCGGGCACGAGTCGAACTGGTGCGGGATCACCTTCTGGAAGTACTGCAGGGCCGGGATCACATCAGGGAAAGCTCACCCCGAATCAGGGAAAATTCACCCAAATCGGAGAAAAAACGGCACAAAATGGGAAAAACCCACCCAGAATGAGGGAAAAGTGACCCCAAACGGGGGAAAACCGACACGAAATGGGGAAAACGTCATCCCATTGGCCAAACCCATCCCTAAACCCATCCCACTGACCAACCTCCCCCAAAGCCCCGTCCCACTGAGCAAATCCACCCCGAATCCATCCCAACCCCACCCCAAAATCCATCCCCAAATCCTTCCCAGTGACCAAATCCATCCCAACCCCACCCCAAAATCCATCCCCAAATCCTTCCCAGTGACCAAATCCATCCCAACCCCACCCCAAAATCCATCCCCAAATCCTTCCCAGTGACCAAATCCACCCCGAATCCATCCCAAGCCCAGCCCAGCCCCGCTCGGGGCGGTACCTGGGACATCCCCTCCATGTCCAGCTGGACCAGCTCGGCCTGGTTGAACTGGAGCAGGGCCATCCCCACACGGAACACGATCTCCAGCCCCTGCCGGCGGCCCCCCCCCGTCACTGGGGTCACCCTGGGGCCACCATGGCCACCCCGGGGCCACCACGGCCACCCCAGGACATCCCAGGGTCACCTGGACCAGTCTTGGGGCCACCACTGCCACCCAGGGGCCACCACTGTCACCCCACGGCCATCACAGCCACCCCGGGGCCACCTTGGGTCATCCAATGGTCACCTGATCCATTCCCAGGGCTGCTTTGGAGGGATTTTTGAATGATTTGGTCAAACCCAAAGCCATTTCTGAGGGACTCTGATCTCCCCCAGGCCCCAGATTTTGGGGTGAGAGGGGCCGATTTTGGGCTACCTCGTACATGAAGATGTCGAAGACGCGCGTGGCCACGGGCAGGGGGAAGGTGGTGAGGAAGAGCGTGAGGAACCAGGACGAGGCGTACATGGAGGTCAGGAAGCTCTGCGAGCGGAAGTGCACGTTCAGCTCCGGCAGCTGCTCCTGCCACGGGAAACGGGAATTCGGGGGATTCAGGGACAGAAATGGGAATTCGGGGTCAGACAAAAACGGGAATTCGGGGTTGGATTAAAGGACAGAAAAGGGAATTCGGGATCTGTCCCTGTCCCCATCCCTGTCCCCGCTGTCCCCACCTGCAGCAGGAACTCGAACTGGTAAATGCAGAGCCCCAGCTCGGCCATGCTGGGCTTGAAGAGCTCGCGCAGCCGGTACTCCTGCATCAGCCGCACGAAGACGCTGAACGCCTCCTCCTCCGGCATCTGGGGACGCCAACAGCCGGCAATTCCCACCAAAACCCCAGGAATTCCCACCAAAACCCCAGGGATTCCCACCAAAACCCCAGGGATTCCCACCAAAACCCCAGG